TGCAGATGGATCTCTTTTAATAATGTACATCATCGCGACCATCGTCTGATTTGCTGTCTACCTTGATTGTCCAATTGAATATCGTTACAACCTCTATTTTGGCCATCAACTGTAGTTGGAATGTTTGGTTGCTAGTATTTATTTGAATAGGCGTAGTTAATATAAATAGATCGGCATTTAAATTTTCGGCTATCTTTAAAACTAACCCAAGTTCAATGCCATAAAAATCATAATACGAACCAGATACGTTCATACCTTACCAACGTCATGCTTGGTCAAAAGGGAACTTATACAAAGCACTTAAGGAAAATAGAACCAGAATGTGAAATAGCTTGAAATATTGTAAAAGTCTTGTATTTTACTAAACTAAATAAGGGCCAAACTGATGTGGCTCCTATTTTGGTCTCAACCCCTCTCTGCTGAATAGATTTGGTCTCTAAGTTTGCTGATAGATTAGGCAATATATCGAATATTTTCGATGTTAGCAGTTTTTGAAAAGTAATATTTAGTCACCCTTAGCTGCCATAGATGCTTTAAAGAATAATTCAATTCGTACCAGGGATATACAAGGATGCTAAACAAAATGAACAAATATTGTTGAGGAGAGGTAAAAGCGGTGCATTGGTAGTTAAGGAAAGGGTAAAAGCTATGTGAAAATAATGTAACAGGCGTTGAATATATGAAGACCAAGATGGTGTAGCCTTTTGTTGTATAGAAGTTGTATGACATTGTTTTCCCAAATTGGTCATATTGGTAGGAAGACGTAAATGAACGCAACTTGTCCTGAGTCCATAGAAGGTCAAAAATCGGACAGTGGACGTAGTACATTCCCAATCGTTTCACCGGTATCTTAGTCTTACAAGTTTTAGCATCACACTACAACTCGTAAAAGAGACAAGCGAATTTGATCTTAAACAGTTGTGGTATCTCTCCTTCTGTCCTTGGCTATTCAACTATCCTATATCCTCTTATCACCTCTTCAGTAGGATAGATGAATAGCACAGGACAAAGGGAGAGGTATCACATCTGTTTAGCACACATTTGGTCAAAGGATCGACTTCACTTGTCTCTTTGACGAGTTGTGGTGTGGCGCTAAGAGTGGCAAGACTCACTGACAATGCCGGCGAAACGTCTGGGAATGTACTACGTCTACAGTCCGACTTTGGAAATGATTATGCATACAATGGACTCCGGACTAGGTGCGTTCATCCAAGTCTTCCTACCAATATGATCAAGTTGCGGAAACAACTTCTAGGCGTTGGATAGTTATGAAATATACTGTTTTATAAAAAAGGACTTAATAAGAAGACCTGAAGGTTAGTCTTAAAGTTTGCCTGCAATATTGTGCAAAGAACGGATAGCTGAAGAAGTGGAAAATTAGCAAATTTGTTCAGCTGAATCATAAACCGATGTTTATATGAGATCTGTTCACCCTATTTCGTTTAATATAAGGTAGGATTGGTAGCTGAATTTGTCCTCAATCATATGAGAAGACCATAAATTCCCATTGAATTTCACAAAGCCTTGATTTCCCAAAAGGTATTCTCATCCTGGCGCAAATGGATTACAATTTGGACCTCGCCTGAACAGGTCCGTCAACACCCACAGCGGGACTCGAAACATGACAGTTCGGCGTATACTCTCTACACGCTAAACACTACGCCACATTGCCACGAGTGCCCTTGGCTCACAAGGCAGATGTGCATTTTAAGGAAAGCCAGGAATTTTTTCATATCTGTGGCGGGATTGTCGATGAGGCAAACTTATATTTGCTATAGCAATAGATGACAATACTCTATTTTTGTTTTGAGTGTGTTTTCGAGACCATCAGTAGCTCATATATATATATATATATATATATGTATAAAAGATGTATTCAACCTAGTTGGTTTGAGGTGAAGAAGGACTGGTGGTTGAATTTTCCCACTATGATATGGGGAGGCCTCATGCTCCCATTCGTTGAGTTACTGGTATTCTCGAAAGCCTACTTACAAATAAATGTCTAA